TAATTATAGTAATAATAATAATAATAATAATAAATTATTAATTTATATTGGGCTTTTTAACATAAAATGATCAAAAGCGCATTACAATATTAAAATATTGCTCGTAAAGATAAGATAAGGATAAGATAAGATAAGATACTTTATAGTTACGCTTAGCTAATCAGCCAGTTTACAGGTAATCAACGGCCCGAGTATATTCAAAAAATTAAAACTAAAAATGTACAATAATTGATCATATAAAACTATAAAGACCTATAAACGCAGAGAACTAGAAATCTAAAGAATCAAATCACAATAAGTTCCATAACATTTGGAAATTCTCTCAAAATATTAATTGTGAGCCTGCCGGGCTGGTGTAATTTGAAAAAAATCTCAAATACCACAAGTTGTGGAAAATTCTTACTGATAACCTGAGCTTCCATACTGATTTATCTACAATTACTTATTTATTATACGACTTAAAAAATTACGAACGCGCGCGCCTGCGAGGTAGATTAAAAATCTACGATACATTGGCTGGCTCTCAGGCAATCTCAATGAAGTATTAAATTTAAAATTTTCTCAGTCATAATAAAACATCAAAAAACGAATACTTTCTATTCAGTTTGGTGCTGAGTCATAAGGTTCTTACAAATGTTTCAAGGATTTAAGCTGGGTCACTGCCCTTACGGTTAACATTTTTTACGGCTAACGGTTAAAATTTCCCAATTATTTGGCCCGTTTTATCCCAGACGATCCCAGACCAATCCTCCGGAAACTCCTTCAATTTTACGAGAGGGGATTGGATCGAAAATCTCAACGCACGCGCACAGGTGATGGTCACAACGAAAAATGGCGGAAAATGGTGAGGTTTTGAAGTTTGAGGTTAATAGCTCAAGTCTTCGACATTATTCCAACTAACAAACTGCGGTAACTTCTTTTTGTCGCTTTTGTTTCAGCTTCTCCCGCTATAGCTGCCGAAAATGAGGATTCTATAGGTAAAACAGGAATAGCACTATTGATAGGACATGTTATGTGAATCTCTCGATCGAATTTTCGGGTGCATTACTGGTCTGAATGTTTTGACAGTTTGCCAGATTTCTTTTTATAGAATTTGTTTGTATTTATGTATTTTATTTTTTTCTGTTGTTCTGCCAATTTTTCATTCCAGGAACAAGTGGCTCTGTGCGAATTTTAGCGCCGCCGAAGTTTATGTTGAGACAAGATACGTCTGGGAGAGTGACGGTACGTAAATAAGTGAAACACCCAATGTCTAACTTGCTTTTGTGCTGTTTGAAAACAAACATGGTCTTTTCTTTTATCAGAAGGAAATATTATTTTATTAGCTTTTCTTCATTAACTCTGTAGGTACTTTTGTTTCAGTCAAGACGAAGTGTATTCTTGTATTTGAATCGTTTAAAGACTTTGAAGTTTCAATTTATTCACGCTGTAAATTTACGACGTTGAATCAGTATGGTGCATGTAAACGATTCCTTGTGCTAGCTAAACTTGTGTTATAGTTATGGTAAATACAGAACTCAACTCAAGGCACTAAAACCTGACGTCAAGGTTTTAGTAAAAACCTGGAGATTGATCGACTGCCGGATAAAAATTAACGAAGAGAAAATGTCTGTTTCCTGTTTATGAATAACCTAAAATATAATGTGCCTTAACCAACACAAGAATTAACGTTCTTTTTTTGTTGTTGTTGATGTCTGCCATTTTGACCAGAATGCGAGAGACTGTCAACAAGTCATGAGTTTTGTGTCTAGCAAGCTAGTGAATCAAGAAAGAATTATAATCTACCTAAGAACTACAGATTTTGCACAGGACTGGTGCTAGACAATCACCTTAGCAAACCAAAAACAAAAATGTGCAAGGAACTTGTTGTATCCTGTCAGCTTATAATCTGTTTTCTGTGAGATTTTTGTATATCATTGTGAGACCATCCGTCTACACTTAAAACCAAGCAAAGCTATTAATCAAAATAAAAGCTATTAAACCAATTACATTTCAACACCCAAGTGGAAACTGCGTTATATCCAAAGATGATTTACCAGTAAATGCATTTAAAAGGGTAAAAATTGTTGTCCTTTGTTTTCACTTTAGAACGCTTATCTTGAGGATGATGCAGAGGAGGAGGAGGCTGAAAATGAGGAATTCCACTCTACTGGAGTATCAGTTAAGGTGCTTTAAAATATGTACTACTTATACAAATTTAGTATGAGAAAGAAAGTGGTGTTTAATTGTTAACATCTTTTAAACTCTTTGGATTGAAATTTTCAAGTTTCTGCTAATTTTGCTCACTCTGTAGGATGAGTTTTAAGTTTTGAAATCCCGTTATTTGAACAAGAGTACACTAGCAAGTCAGTTATTGGATGAAGGGAAATGTTTTTTTTTCCCCTCCAGACTTAAAGGAGCTCAGGCACAGCATACTGAGTTATTTTGGCCACGTACAAAATTACCTTTAAATTGAAGGAAACCCTGAAAATAGTAGTTTAGTAAGATAGATACATGTAAATGTCAAAGAGATAATAATAAATTACGAAACAAGGATGGTTAAGGATGGAGAAGATTAACATGGACTACAAATGATAACCTTGAAAAATTTGGGCTAAATTTTCAAGATGTACAAACCGTGACATAGTTCCTTTAACTTTTTTGTTAATAGAGATCAGCAGATATGGAGGAAAGAAATGATGACTCGGAACAAGAGGAAGGTAACAGAAAACTGATAAGAACTCTTTTAGTATTAAGAATATAATTAAATTGTTTTGAGCTTGTTATTTTCTTGATTAAAATCAATCTTGCAGATCCATTATTTGTCTGAATCGAGTTTTTATTTAGGGTCTTGCATTTATGTTACAAGTCACGGAGTATTTTGTAATGAAATATGGTACCACAGATTTTTATCTGATATACTTAAAGCAGATATTTACATCCAGAAATAATTCTTCTCTAGTCAATTGAATTGCCCCAGAGAATTAAGTAAGTAAGTAAGTAAAGACTTTATTTAAAGAGGGTAGCACTAAAATAGTATAAAAATACTAACAAATAGCTAAACTTGTGTTATAGTTATGGTAAATACAGAACTCAACTCAAAGCACTAAAACCTGACGTCAAGATACCTCAAGGTTTTAGTAAAAACCTGGAGATTGATTGACTGCCGGATAAAGATAAATGAAGGGAAAGTGTCTGTTTTCTGTTTGTGAATAACTTAAAATATAATGTGCCTTAACCAACACAAGAATTAACGTTTTTTTGTTGTTGTTGCTTTTGTTGATGTCTGCCATTTTGACTACATGACCAGAATGCGAGAGACTGTCAACAAGTCATGAGTTTTCTGTCTAGCAAGCCAGTGAATCAAGAAAGAATTATAATCTACCTAAGAACTACAGATTTTGCACAGGACTGGTGCTAGACAATCACCTTAGCAAACCAAAAACAAAAATATGCAAGGAACTTGTTGTATCCTGTCAGCTTATAACCTGTTTCTGTGAGATTTTTGTATATCATTGTGAGACCATCCGTCTGCACTTAAAACCAAGCAAAGCTATTAATCAATATAAAAGCTATTAAGCCAATTACTTTTCAACACCCAAGTGAAAACTGCCCTTTATCCAAAGATGATTTACCAGTACCGGTAAATGCAATTGAAAGGGTAAAAATTGTTGTCCTTTGTTTTCACTCTAGAATGCTTATCCTGAGGATGATGCAGAGGAGGAGGAGGCTGAAAATGAGGAATTCCACTCTACTGGAGTTTCAGTTAAGGTACTTTAAAATATGTACTACTTATACAAATTTAGTATAACGAAGAAAGTGATGTTTAATTGTTAACATCTTTTAAGCTCTTTGGATTGAAAGTTTCGAGTTTCTGCTAATTTTGCTCACTCTGTAGGACGAGCTTTAAGTTTTGAAATCCTGTTATTTGAACAAGAGTACACTAGCAAGTCAGTTATTGGATGAAGGGAAATGTTTTTTTCCCCTCCAGACTTAAAGGAGCTCAGGCACAGCATACTGAGTTATTTTGGCCATGTACAAAATTACCTTTAAATTGAAGGAAATCCTGAAAATAGTAGTTTAGTAAGATAGATACATGTAAATGTCAAAGAGATAATAATGAATTGAGAAACAAGGATGGTTAAGGATGGAGAAGATTAACATGGATTACAAATGATAACCTTGAAAAATTTGGGCTAAATTTTCAAGATGTGCAAACCGTGACATAGTTCCTTTAACTTTTTTGTTAATAGAGATCAGCAGATATGGAGGAAAGGAATGATGATTCGGAACCAGAGGAAGGTAACAGAAGACTGATAAGAACTCTTTTAGTATTAAGAATATAATTAAATTGTTTTGAGCTTGTTATTTTCTTGATTAAAATCAATCTTGCAGATCCATTATTTGTCTGAATCGAGTTTTTATTTAGGGTCTTGCATTTATGTTACAAGTCACGGAGTATTTTGTAATGAAATATGGTAACCACAGATTTTTATCTGATAGACTTAAAGCAGATATTTACATCCAGAAAATTAATAATTCTTCTCTAGTCAATTGAATTGCCCCAGAGAATTGATTCTAATGTCTTGTACAGGTATATTTGTTAAAGGTATCTTATGTCAGTTGGTATACTACTGTAGCTGTACATTTGTGTATGTATACATATGCATGTTTGCATAAAGAATACATTGTTTTATTTTATTTTACAGCTGCTTGTTCATCACCAGTAAAAAAGGCAGCAAAACTTGAAAATAAAAATAATGAAGGTACTTGTTGTAACTGTAACTTGTTGTAACATCTTTACTATCTTGTTTAAAAATTACAATATTTAGAGAGGAAGCCACGTCAGCCTTAGCTGGTTTTCATGCAGGTTCTCTATCCTGGTTGAATTGGATTGTGGAGTGTTGGATTGTGGTTTTAGTGGAGAGAGGAAAACCGGAGAACACAGAGAAAAACCCTCAGAGCAAGGCAGAACCAACGACAGACTCAACCCACATATGGCACCAGGCTGGAATCGAACCCAGGCCACATTGGTGGGAAGAGAGCACTCTCACCACTGTGCCAACCCTGCTAAACGTATTGTTTCACATTGTGATAATAACTATTCATGATCTTTTATTTTATCTACTTTCAGAAACAGAGGAAGTTAAACCTCCAAAGCTTCTATTTAAACCATCCATTCTCTCTGATGTGGCAAAGAATTTGACAAGTTCATCATCTAAATGTACTTATAACAATAACAATTATTTATTTGTTTTTCTTGTGATTCTGTGTTTAGGATTTATAATTAATAGTTATTATAATTAATTATTAAGGGTCATTACTATAAGCAAAAATGATGTTTTTTTGGCAAAGACAAATATACTTTACTTTTTTTAAAAAAAGAAGCAAAAAATCATGATTACACTGCCTATGCACTTGATTTTAAAACTAGCTGGATTCCTGGCACTTGAACAGACAAAACAATTATCACAAATAAACATAACATAGTTTGGGATCCAAATTGGCAGGAGGTTGTCTCTTTGGCTCTATATAAACATTACTGTGGCATTGAACTCAGGACTACCAAGAACAAATTGAGCTAGTAGAAAGGTAGAGGCTTGCACTTAAGACCGGGTCAATAAAGACAGAGAAATAAGTGGTCAGATTCAATCTGCAGATAACAAGTCATTTTCCATGCAGTCAAAGAGACTATTATTTTTAGCAATGCTTGACCATCTTCTTTAAATTATTATAATGGGCTTCACTCTAAAATAATATTGAAATCTTTATTATTTTACTGATGACATCTTGCAGGCCTAAAACACCATTGTTTCATCAGTCACCACATGCTCCTACATTTATAATTCAACAATTTGTAACTTAAATTCCTTTTCTGTCTTATAGTTGATAGAAATTCCACAACTTCTCCAGTTCCAAAGGTATGTACATCTTACATTTAGCCATTTTTAGCCCCCATAATCCCAAACTTTACAGTTCCAAACCTTTAAATCTGGCCCCTTTCTTGACAAGAAAGGGGCCAGATTTAAAGATTTTGAGTCATTCCATGAGTTTTGGATTCCATGCACATTTGGAAATATTTTAAAGAGAAAGTCTGTATTGAATGATTTATAAATCAAAGGTAGATCTTAAAAGTTATGATCTGACAGACAGACAGCCTGACTGACTGAAGAGTGAGTCACACGGAGATAAGGTTGTTCTGGGATTATAGTAATTATGCCACTTTGATCCTGAAATAAGCCTTTCAGTGCAGTAGTTTGAAAATGTTAGTTGCAGTGATATTTCTCTCAGCATGACAGGTTTTACTTAATGTTGCTTAATTCTGTTTATTTTTTATAGACATTTGGGGTGTCCAGTGGTGAATCTTCTGCTACAGAGCAGAGCACAGACACATCACAGCGCTCACATGAGTCTGCTCCTGGAGAGCAGCTGGCAGGAATAATTGGAGCTTCTTCTAAGAATTACTTTGAACAATTTCTCACTGGCCCAAAAGAGTGAGTTGAACTGATATAACTTCATGTTATTTGTTGTCTTCTTAAATAAGACATTGTTACATGTTTATGTGGGTGAACCTGCAGTTCATGCAAGCATTCTGTGAACGGGGAGTATGGATGTTTTCTGGAGCCACACAATATTTTCTGCAGAGTGGGATTGCAATAGATAAGATTAGCCTTAAGAAAAATAGCGATATGGGAATAAAAGTCTGGGTTGTAAGTGTTGGTATTCTTGTTACATATTGCAATCTTTCTCTTGCCAGATCCTCTGCTAAACCCCCAAGTGGATCATTTGTATTTGGACAAAACATGGGCGAACGAGTTATGGTGAGGGTTGCAAAAAACAGATCTTCTTCACTCAGTATTGTACAAATAATGTAGAGATGAGTGCAGATTTCCTGTGTTTCTGTCTAACACATTATAATAACATTGTGCATTATTTAACACATTGTAACATCGTATTCTGTTAGTTTTCTGCTGACAATACTACAAAGGAGGAAGGACCCAGTGAGACAACAGAGGAGAAACCAACAGACACCAACAGCACTTCTAAGGATCACAAAACAGGTTCAACAAAAATATCATAAAATAATAAGTTTGTNCTAAAATGCCTTGTGTTAGGTTCTTACACAAACAGTTGCATACTCTTAAGCAGAGGCTAGGGGGTGAACAAATTTAGAGCCTCTTCATATGAGCCATGTCAATTGGGCTGGCTCAGTTTCTGAGATCTTGCCTCACCGCTCTTTCCTTTGTAAAAATTTTGTGTTTTGGAGATCTTGGTAACCAGGATGAAAATTTCCCATATGAACACCAGGGTTTCATTAAGGGCTGGGCACCGGACAAATTGACCAGCTGTGAGGATGATTTTGCCTCTTTAGTTTGACCATCTAGGGGAAAGTTTCTCTTAAGAAGAAGCTCAGTTCAAAACATTTTGCCCGGCTGTGAAAGCCAATTACCGTCCTGTGGAAAAAATTAATGAAACCCCTGGATTACTCTAGCCTGGGTGACCACAACAAAACTTTTGTGACAAATAGCTTCAATTTCACAACATAGCATCCAGGATGGCAACATTTTTGTCCTGTGTGTATTTCCACTTCAGAAGTATACAAATCACCTTTATTAGTAAAGTTACACAAGCCCACAAAGATATGATAGTTGCAAACCATGCAAGTTCATGTTCCAGAGTTTTGGTTTTGTTTCTTAAATTTCTTCCTGGTTGATATGGCTGAAATTTCCCATGTGAACCGACAACAAAATTTGTCCCAGTAACCAAGCCAGCCGGTTACCAGGCTCATGTGAAGAGGCCCTAAGTCTGCATTGCAGATTACCTCCAAGCTTTTGTTATACTTCCCTAGCAGTTAGTGCAATGGTAATCATTCAGAAACCTGGATGGAGAGAAACATTGTAAGAGCAATATGTCTTGGCTATAAAGAACATGCCAGTCACCCCAACCAGGGCTAGAACCTGGACACAATCTGCTGCAATAAGCCTTCGACAACAGTTACAAGAATTACATAAGGAAGTTTGTTTGTCATTATAACACCTTGTTAATTCTGTGTTTTTTAGAGCAATTGTCGGTTGTTTGTGTTTGATACTGTAACTCATTCGTGGAGAGAAAAAGGAAGAGGTGTGCTCAGATTGAATGACATGTGTCAGTCAATGACAGAAGGTATCTTCCAATCCAGGCTAGGTAAGTCATGTTCTCAGAATTCATAACCTTTTGAATAGAATACAAGGGAAATCGTAGACAAACAGCTGTGAAATTTTGTCATATGGCTATCTAACTTTCTTCAATTGTGACACTTGGCTCATAAAGCCTCTTGCATCCAGTTTCGGTAATTACACTGTATCTTTCAATAGGGCTATGTAACAGAGTTTTCATGAAGGGCTGGGCACTGAGCAAATTGAACAGTTGTGAGGATGATTTTGCCCACCTGGTTTGACCATCTGGAGGAACGTTTTTCTTACAAAAAGGTTCATTTTACAAAGTTTTGCCTGCCTGTGAAAACCAGTTGCCTTCTTGCTGAAAATGTTAATGAAACCCTTGCTATGTGATTATTACCAGGTGACTCCATTGTCCCTGCACAGGCTTCTATCCCTCTAACAATCCAGCAGGGTTGGAGCTGTTAGACACTAGAGTCTCAGCAATTAGGTTATTGAAACATGCAGGCTTCTGGCAAACTAGCAAGTCCAACGTGAATTTTGATGTTTATTAACTTATAATTAACTGACAAAGTTACATCACTGTGATTGGCATAGAGCAGGCAAATTTATCTTTGATTTTTAATTGCATTGCAATGCTCATGCATTCAAAAATTCCACATTCATATTAAATGAAGTATTACATGAAAGCTCAAGTAACTAAGGATTTACCCTATCAGTGATATTTGAAATTTTTTTCCAAATTACACTCGCCTAACGGCTTGTGCAATCTTGAGAGAATTCTCAAATATCACTCGTAGAGAAAATCCTTAATTGCAATTGCATTTATACGATTACCTATTCTAAGTAAAGTGACGAATGACGATGTGCTTTTTTTAGTGATGCGCACCCAAGGAAGTTTACGTGTTGTCCTCAACACTAAACTGTGGCCAAGTATGACTCTAGAAAAAGGAAATGAGAAAAGTTTACGAATCACTGCAATGGATAGTGAAAAAGACATTAAAATTTACCTTATAATGGTGAGTACCAGTTCAGTTTCTGTTCTTAGTACATGGTTTGAACCCAGGAGTATCAGTAGACTGACCTTGGAAGTTGGTACACTAACTTAGAAAAAAACCCTCTCAACAGATGTCAACAACTACTGGCATCTTGCAAACGACTTATTCCCGACATAAACGAAACCAACAAACGGCCCTCTAACAGACCGACTTAATTTGACTAACAGTAGATGGACCTCAAACAGACTGACTTAATTTGACTAACAATAGATGCATCGAAACTTACTAGAACCGACCAAAGACTGTTGACAAATTTTACATGGCGTTTAGCCATTACCATTACGACCAATCAGTTTCAACAGACCAGACTTCCAACACCATCTACTAAACATTCAATGAACGTGCCATTCCTGAACATCTCTCTTCAAGAACATTAGTCACGCGTACACGTGATGAGCCTGTTTATTTTCTCCCGCAGGCCGCTCCAAACGATATCCAGCGTTTGTGGACCGCCATTGATCGTCGCATCCAGGCCTTGAAGCGCGGTGAGGATGTACAAACACAGGAAAAAACCGCTGACAAAGATCATGAGGAAGAAACCAAGACCGAGCCGGATGATGAACTCAAGGGGACTGAGCCCGAGGACGATGATGACTCGGTCAAAGATCGATGCGAGGCCCCGGATGACAGCAGTAATGAGTCTTGTCCCAGGGAGGAGGGGAGGAAAAAGGAAACGGTTGCTGATGACGATTAATAAGACATTGAATAAACAGTGATCGCGAACAAATTCTGTTACTCAATACAGTACAATACTGTGCACTCTGGAACAACTTCCCATGTCAATTCTATGTGACACTGACGTAACTGTGTGAATATTTCGTCTCATTGGCGGCTGTCACGCAACCCTTCTCACCATAGTTACTATGTTCTAACCGAGGGGCGTTGCATGACGACGCTTGAAATGAAGCCTCTGAAGACCAGAAAGAACTTAAAGAAGAAGAAAAACATGGACATAACTTGTTTGCCGACCTACAACACTGAACTTTCATTTTGCTGCTGAATTAAATATCCTTGAATTAATAAGCAATCGCCACGTTTGGCCTCTTCAATTCACTTATCACGCACAAAGTATTTTTCCTTTCTTCGTGCGGCGTGAGCCTGCGCGCGAATCCACTGGATCACGTGAGAGATGCCATACCTGTCCCAATACAGTTGTAGAAAGTAGTTTTTACATTTAGTGGCCTCTTCCAGATTCAGGTCCACAGGCGGGGTATAGGCCCGTAGTGGACAATCTCTGTCGTCTTCGCACACAGTTAGTATAGGAAATAGATCAGACGGCCTCTCTCTTAAAAAAATAAACTGAAACATTTTCAAGTGACACTTGTGATTTTTAGCGTGTTATTTGTTTGGTACGGTTTTCTTTGAACTATGTGTTGAAAATCATTTACAAATTAAACATTTCTTGAAGGATTGTTGTCATCGCGCATTTGAGGTGTTATATCAGAAACGATTTTTTTTTATCACATTTCCAAGCTTCGAGAACGGAGCTGAACATACACCTCTCGTAGCGGAGTACCGTATTTTTAACAGACTTTGAGGTGTTTGGAAATTTGATGGCTTGCTCGAATTTTTGACGTACTAAGCAACTCAATCGAACCTAAAACTACGTAGAAAAACGGGCAAATAAAATCGTAAAATTCAATAATGACTAAGATCCAATATCAACTTATGATGATATGTTAATAATTTGGGAACAATCAAACCAGAAATCTCTGTACGGACAGTACCTGTCATGTTCGCATGGGAAATTTTTCCTCGTAGACAACTGGACTCCTGCTATGAGAGAATAATTACAAGGTTTCATTCCATTTTGTATCGTAATTATAAAGGACTTGTGATCCGGGCTGAACTGTTGTTCAAAACCCTTTATATCTACAAGGATTTGATCCAGTTTAACTAGACTCCTTTTAACCTGTATCTTCGGTGTAGATTGCCCAAACGGAAAATAAGATATTGAATTGGCAGTCTAACTGGTTGGTTATCCTTTCACCACTAGGCCCCATGCTATCTTACAGTTGAGTTACCCCAGAGTCGCTACGTTATTCTCTAAAGGGAATGCGCCTAAACTCACTTCCAGAGTCTCCTTTGGAGCGTGCACTAATTTTGATTGGATGAGAAGAACTGGGAACTCGTTACAAAAGCAATGTTTCCGTCTTCCACAGGCTGTTTCCCAGTTTGACATATTGGTACTCATCGATCAACCCTTCTGGTTACCAATTCCCGCTGTCAGCTTGAATGTGATCGTCAAAGGGGGTTCCACGAAGCCGCTTTACTAGAAATTATTTTGCTGTGGCGGGATTGACGGTACTGGTACTAGACGGATTATTTGTATCTCAGATAGTCTCTGTCTAGACAGAAGTAGTAATCAAACTTGATAAAAAATGTAAGACTGATCAAACAGTTGGGTCGAAATGTTCTCTTTTCTAGTTCTAATCTGATGCAATATTTTGTCAGCTAGGTAAAACTTACCTCCATCACGGCCTGAGGTTAGTTTAACCCAACTGTGCTGAAGATGGATTATCGATCTGTAGCAAATGAGTTGCAAAAATTGAAATGCTAAGGCAGTTTTACATTCGACTCACTTTGTCCCAGACAATCAATCACCGCGGCCACATGGCTGTAGAGTTCTTCTCCCTCCTCCCCTCCTCCCCTCGCAGCTACCGCATGAGCGCCGCTGAATAAAAGAGGCCAGGTTACTCGGTAGGAGACTATCAAAACAAGAAATGTGACTCAGTTGAGTTCACTGATAAATAATCCGTTCTCGAGAGAAGCAAGTTCTTCACTTAAAAAGAAACGTTATGTCGGAAGAAAAAATTCAAACGAAGAAAAATTTGATATTCCTGGATAATTTTCGTTGAAATGGGGACTAATGCTTCAAATTTACGCAACACGGAAGAATTTTCGCTCTCCAATCGTGCAGCTGTGCCGCGTCTGTCGGGCAGATCACATCGTTCTTTGCCGACTGAAAATCGCCATGATCACCTTTTCGACGTTGTCATTCAACTAAAACACGAAGACAAGGACATTTATTCCTGTTTCTTTCCAAGCGACGACGATAGCGTTCTTTTGACGGCCTCTAAAGTAGAACAAACTACTTTCCTGCGCCACAATCGGGAATTTTCGTCGATAAGATTGTGGGACCTGAATCGAAGGCAAATCAACACTGGCTTTTTGGCAGATTTTCCGCGCTCTTTTAGATCCTGTGATTTTTCTCCTGATGGGCAACTGGTCGTTTGCATTTTTAGCGAAGACTCGCTAGCTTTAGTTAGAATGAGATCGTGGAAGACTACCAGCGCGGAGGTTGTGCACATGCGAAGATTTTGGCGAAAGAGAAGAGGAGTATTAATGTGCTGTTCGTTCTCGCCGGATGGTCGCTCTCTTGTCGTGGCATCTAAATTAGCAGGAGATTTAAATCATATCTGTATAATCGATATTGCTACTAAGAAGATGGTGAGAAAAATGAAATCGGCAAAAAATTCCAGCTCGAAAATTCGTGGACACGCGAGGTCGTGTGTATTTTCGCCTGATGGCTTGTTCTTAGCGGTCTCTTGTACTTCTGGACAGCTAATTGTGTTCGACACTCAGGATTTTCATATCCATAGTAGTCTTGACTTGGACTCGTCGACGTCGGCCACGTGCTTGTGCCTTCCATTCCGTCACACAAGTCGCCGATCACTCAGTTCTCACTTGCAATGTTGGTATTTATTTGATCCTCGGTACGGTCACAAGTACTTAACGTCATGTCTAGAAGATGGCACCATACAGACATGGTCGCTTGCTGCGGATGAACCTGGCCTTACTTGCATTCAGTTTGCTTATGCATTGCAAACTCCATGGCAGAAGATAAGATCTGCTGCCTTCTCCCCTGATGGAACAATGCTTGCGGTCGGTACCTCCGATTCAAAAGTGTTAGCCCTGAATTCAGAGAGCTTACATGTTTTATTTGTCCTCAATGCACATCTTCAACCAGATGGTTTAAGAACATGGTATCAGAACACAGAAGTGTCCTGCCTGGCGTTTACAAGAACCTGCCAACAGATTGCCGCTGGTTACAAAGATGGACGAATCAGGGTTTGGCAGTTGCCTTTGATTTTGAATCTTCAACACATGTGTAGATTGGTCGTTATTAATCATGTTCCCGCGCGGGAGATTCCCCAGTTACCCCTCCCAGCCCATTTGATCAGGTATCTTTTATTCTCTCCCCTGAAGCAATTCTAATTCCTCGTCCAAGGGCTGCTTGTAAATTACAGTAAAGGGCATCATTTAAGATTAAGTGACCTGCGGTGGGTTAAATTTTCTACGCATTTTACTCCATCTGGATGAAGCATAATTTTTTCCATCTGGTGATAGTACAGTAAAACTAGTATTAAATGGATCCAGAAAGTATCCACACCTCTCCTATGGTGGGATTTTTGGTTTGAAACCCCTACCCCATGCCTCTGGAAATTCCAGTTTTGGTTCATACTTTCTGTTAACAATTTTGGCCCTCAAGACTACTCCTCTACCCCTTGGATTTTCCAATAACCCTCCGTGGGGTGGGTGTGGATATTTTCTGGAACCACACATTAAGTGGACATCGACATTGAGCTTAGCAAGTCCCAAACCTCTCTTCCAATATTTTCTTTAAAACAAACCCAAATTAAGTAGGCATCTCTATGTCTGCTTAATACTGGTTTCACAGTATTATTATCCACAGGGTCCGTCAATCTTGATGCATTTTAAAGAAATTCAAATTTTAGTTAAATCCAAAGAAATCTTCATTTGCTCAAATTTTCTCCAGGAACTGTGAGTTATCTTATCTGTCATCTGGTGTGAAGTCTGGGTTCTTCAGCATCTCCTTGATAGTCAACAACAATTATGCACCAGTCCAACTGAGACCTAAGGATCCCATGTAAAGGGTTGAACAATTTATCCATCTGAGATGAATTAACCATTTGAGATGAATCATTTGTCTGCCTTAGATGGAAAAATCATCAAGGTATAAATCTGGTGTTTATATGAATATTTATGCGACAAAAATTAGTCCTCAGCTGATTCTTCTTTGAGCATGTCGACAGAAGAATCCATTGAAGACAAATTTTGTTTTCTGTCTCAGAAGGACAAATCATCTCGGATGGATAAAATAATCATCTAATAAAAAATGTGGCATTGGATAATTCATCCCTAGTATAAATTCGGCCAATGTACACTTTTTTCACTTGGGAAGGAAACGCAAAGCATATGCATGCAAGCTGCCCAGTATAATGTCAGAGCCTGGAAAAAATTTGCTACGTTTGAGGTTTTTTACCCCAAGGTGGGGTATTCTGATTGTCACCAGGGGAACGTGGGGTTGGGATTTACTTTGGCAGGTGCATTATTGTTGTTTTTGTTGCTTTATTCTTGTCAGTAAGTAGTTTGGAGCTAATGGGAATCATTGTTAGCTAAACATCTGGTGTGTAAGGCCCGAGAACACAGCTTTATTTCTACAGTTATGCCTTCTGTCCACATTAACCCGGCATGAAAACAGAGCTTTTCGAAAACACTCTTCCAACCAGAGGAATTTCAAAGTTCCGGCATTGTGTTTTAGTGTGGATGGGAAGCGTTTTGAAAACAGAGCTTTTCAAAAACAATGAGGTCATGATAGTAATGTGATTTCCCTGCCCAAGTTTGGTAAATGATAATTGCTGCATTTTCATATTTCTTTGGCGTAGCGTGGACGGAAACGTAAATTTTCAGAGTGAAAACATCATTTTCAAGTTTCTCTGGCGTAGTGAGGATGGGGCCTATTAAGGCCGCAACAGCTGGTTCAATGATATAAGCCATTCCACTGTTGTTTTGCAAAGTGTAGGGACAACTACAGAAGTATTCATTGTAATTTTAAGCATAACTATCTACCTTTGTATGAGGTTATACTTCGTCAAGGTGTACAAAAGGTTGTATTTTTGAGAAGATATATTTATCAATTTGTAATATTTAAAACAATAGTACTTAACAATAGTATTTGCAAGGAGAATGTTATTTGTAATATATTAGTAAGGAAATGTTGTTTGAACATGTTCATCAGTGCATTGTTGTGTTACAATATTATTCATATCATGCAGGAATTTTAAGAACCTGAGAGAAGCACTTTACCTCGTGCTCCTCACACTTTTCATGTGTTCTTAAGAATTCAGAAATGGTTATGTGTTATGCAACCATGTACAAGGAACAAATGTACTATTTTCTTTTGTAAAGTGTTCAATGTGTGTGTGCTCAAACTTGTCATGCAATTTGTCACACATGTCACATATGTGGTAACTCAATAGATCATGTGTGACACTTGGTACATGCTTTGTGGCTCTATAGTGAAATTAAAGGGGTGTGCAGAATAAGGCCCTGACTGGCTGTTGAAGTAATGTCAAACTCTCCTTATGTTTCACAAGGGAATACAATGAATGTTGTTGGGGTAGAATCAAGCAATTTATCATAGATCACTTAGGACTTTATTTCCTGGCACCCCTTAAAAGAGCACACAATTTGTTGAACATTTTGTAATAAAGGTTAATGTCTCTATGTTAAGTTCTTGTATCATAATGTAAAAGCTGTACTAGATAATAAGTTGTTGTTGTTAATATTTAACATGATTTCAAACAGCTCATCAATGTACCTTCATCACAGTAAAAGCTTGGTTCTCATATCCCACCAACCTGCCTGTGACAAAGTCGCTAGTTGCAACTGACAACGTTCTGCAATCTGTTCCAGTGGGTCCCCAGCGCATCTGCGACAGATCGCAGACATACTCAAATTAGCACGAAATGCAAATTAAATTGGCACAATTTTCAACCATTCCGTCTGTAAATATGGATCAAATCATCTTACTGGAGTGCCAGTAAGCCAGACTTTCTTTTCAAGCTCTTTATTTACTTGGAGAAGTTTGTTCTGATGTTGTTGTATCTTTGTTGAGCAGAAGCAACATCAATTCTCAGTGTATTAGCAACTGCTTGCCAAGCATTTTTCTTTACTCTTTGGTCTTTATACTCATGACAGGACTTGTCATATATAACTAGGTACTTTCTTATTTCATCCATTAACATACAGTTGCTTGCGACATCCTCACATGTGACTTCATCCACCATTTTGAAAGTAAGGAATCGTGGGAAAAATTGAGTTGTTACATCATACATTGCGTCAGCAGATGATGTTCACATAAAATATTTTCATCGCTGACAACAGCTGGCTTTCCTGCAAAGTTGAACCCAGCTCAATTTCACAGGCAAGCCAGCAGTCAATGCCTGGGACAGATTATGATTCGACGATAAATTTTCACATATGCCGTAACAGGTATGTTGGCAGCATATGAGAACCAGGCTTAACCCAACAAAAGTGCCTTTCCAGTGTAGAATAGTATTTGACAAATTGGCACAACCCCATTCATTAGTGATGGCAATGTTGACAATGCTGTGGACGGAAATTAAATTTGAATGATTTCCCTCTTGATTGGCAGTTTGAGTTTGAGAATATAGCGCATAGTGCAAAAGCCCTTGTTATATCAATAACTTCTTCTGATCCCTCTTACCATTGTGTTGTTAATCATTTTAAGCATTAATTTATATATGCTATTCTGTACAACCCTTGAAATCCTCATCAATCTACTGGTGTTTCTTTAGTTACTTTATTGCAAGATCTGTACTGTAAGTTGTGGACAAAGATATTTTTCCTCCCTTTTATGACTGAATAGAGGAGCAGAGCAAAAAATAATTATAGCATCCAAAAAATAAATAAGTTAAGTATTGCATGAAAAAAAAATGAAGATAACAGCTTTAAAATAGTTATGTCTAGTAATATATCTTGATCAATCACGAGTGATGTAACAATATTTTAAATAATTATTTTCTACTCATGAAGCTATACTTGATAATCACAAGTAATTGCAAGTGTTTGGTGAAAAAGAAAAAACAGTGTTTATACTGTACATATTACCAAGGAGATATTTATTTAGTTCCAGTACAATGGTAATACTTACCAAAAAAATCTGCTGCAAAACTTGTTGAATGAATATTAATAAAATGAAGAATTTTGTGAGATTTGTTAGTGATACAGGGGAGTAAGGGGGGGAGGGCTGGGGGGTGGAGAACCCTGCCCCTGTAAAATTTTCTGATTGCAGTCAAGCCTCTTTACAAC